TAGTTTACTTACTTTAACTGTTGTATGGTATTCCGCTGTGAGACCACATAGAACAGTGCCTTTCTCCATTTTCTTACCGATGAACATATAGGTAGTTTCCATTCTTTGCAGTTTCAAACAGTACAGCAGTGACAGTCTTTAAACACGTCTCCTGGTGCACCCTCGTGTCACATACAGCTTTTATAACAATTGCAGCATGTACCCCTGCGTGACCTTGGAGAATTGTTTAATGTCTCAGAAGCTTAGTTTCCTCATCAGTAAATTGGGGTAATAAAATAGCATGCATTTTGGTGACAACTGCATGCTTCAATGTAGGTGAAAAGCCTTTTGCAACCTGTAAAGGACTCCATGAAATGTTAGCTGTTTATCATTCAGGTGTTTGACATCCAGGATGTACTGAGCACCCTTCCATGCTGGGGACACAATGAACAGGGACGACCCCTGACGTGCTCACATGCATAAGAGACCGCTTGATGGGTGCAGCAACAGAAGAACGCGCAAGACTCTACTCAGTAACCTAGCCTGGAGTATAGAGGCAGGCAAGGCTTCCGAGAGGCAATGACACTAAGCTAAGTCCTCTAGAGACAAGGAGGCTTAGGCGAGTGGAAGATGGGAGGGTGGAAGGCTGGCCCAGGCAGATGGAGCAGCAGATGTGAAGGGACTGAAGGACGCAAGAGAACGTGCTTGGAACGTAAGAGTTGAAGGGAGGGGTAGTAAGACAAAATGAGCCTGGAGAGGTAAGCAGAGCCACGATGCTGTACCCTGAGGGCAGCAGGGAGCCACTGAAGGATTTAAGCAAGGGAGTGATAGGCTCAGATCTGCGTGTTAGAAGAAGCAGTCTGAATAAGCTCTGGAGAGCTGCAACACTGGACTCACACTCAACAACTATCCTACACTTAGATCTCATGTTAAGTATTGGGTTGGCCACAAAGTTCGTTCCGGGTTTTCCATAACATCTTACGGAAAAACCCGTATGAACTTTTTGGCCGACACAGTGTTACCACTACAATTTAAAAAATTGGGTCTGGCCACAGTGTGAAAGGGGGTGTAGGGGAGAGGCCGGAGGTTGGAGGCTGAGGATGGGAATGCTGCAGGCAAAACATGATGAGGGCGGAACCAAGGCAGCCACTGATTTTGCCACCAACACCCTGATAGCATCACCAGGAGAGATGGGAGGAATGGGCCAGCTCACCCTGAGCTGGGAACCTCACCCTGATTCAAAGAGGTTCATGTGCACACACTCCACCTAGTCCCCTTCTTGGACTCACTTATCATCTTTCGAGGCACAGGACCCAGCCATGAGCTCTCAAGTTTCCGGATGGTATGAGCTCTTTGGCATCTTGGCACCCAGGGTGTGGCTGGGTCTTCACCAATGTCCCATACGGGACCCCACCAGCATCTAGACCGCACAGATCCCACACGGAGTGAGGGGAAGGGGAGGGTGACACATTCTAGGGTAAGAGGGGCTGTTGGTTACCACTGGATAGTAATAGCTAAACATCAAATATCTAAAATGGGAAAAGACAGACATACAAGAACTGCCCCAGACCCCTCACTCCCTAAGTGGGGACCACCTACCATGCCTAACTGTGAGTGAGAGGCCTCTACCCTCAGTGCAGTGGTGCGTCCTGGCCTCCCCTAGGCCAGGCTAGAGCATTGCCATCCATTCTCCTAGCACTCCATACTTCCCTTTTTAGCACACTCATCCCTTTAGAATTACAACTTTAATTTCTGCCTTCCTTGTCGGACTATAAGCTCCCCAATGGAGCTTCCCAGAACCGCACCCACCTTGTTCACTGTTCTTCCCTCAGTGCCTAAGAGTCTGGTTCCTAAGAGGCCCTCCAGGAGTATTTGTGAGTATAATCAATAGGACGTACTGAGGGAGGAGAAAGGGTGGAGGAAGATGCATAGATTCAGAGGCCCTGAGAAAGAAAGTGCCTTGCTCAAGTCACAGGAGAGGCCGAATGAGATCACAGTTCCTGCTCGGGACCTCCGCCTCTCAGGGAAGGGCCTCCCCACTGATTATGCTATGCTGCAAAGAGGCTTTGCAGCAGACCAGCATCTCCTGAAGCAGTCCATGGAATGCTGGTCTCAAAGTGTTCTCTAATTAAATAAGCTTAGGAAACTCTGGGTTAAACAAAATGGAAAACGTTTCTTCACCACTGGACTTTTCAGAGCCTTTAATATGCTCGTGTGCACGTGATTCCTGGTGAAGGTCACATGCAGTATTCCCCATATCTATTTGACCATGGAATTCTGTCTGTGAAGCTTGGTTTCAAACCTTTGGCACCATCCCCCAACTGCTTGCCATAATTATTTATTGAACATGGCACAGCAAGGAGATTTGTTGCAACTTTTTGTGCAGTGCAGGAAAACCCTGTTTCACAAATGAAAATGACTCCAAGCTCCAAGATATAAATGGGATAAAAACAAAACTGTTCTGGTCGGAAGGGGGCCTGGAGATCCCACCTGCCATTCCTTCACTGCTGTCAGGCCAGGAACTGTAGTGTCCTGCAGAGCCCAGTTTAAAAATCACTGGTACTGAACTCTGAGGACAAGGCTCACATTAGAGACCTGGCTTCTGACACTGGCCTTGCCATGAGCTGTTTTACCTTGGGCAGGTCACGTGGCCTAGCTGGGCCTTGGTTTCCCCATTGATACAATGAGTCTGGTAGATGGGATGCTTTTTGGAGTCCTGAGCTTTAATCTCTGATATGATGAGGGCTGTGATTCCATGACTGCAAAATTCCAACTCTACGATTCTATGGTTCTTTGATTCTGAGATTCCACGGCTTAATATTCCAACTCTGGGACTGCCTATAGCCAGCCCGAGCTGGTGCAGCATACTGGAGCCCAGGCTACAGAAAGCAGAATTCATGAACTGCGGTGTGCTGTCCAGGATTGCTAAGTTCCCTGTGGAGGGCATGCCCCATGAAGGATGGAAGGGGTGGGGTCTGGAGGAGGGTGGGGAGGTGCCTCAGAAACAGCAGCAGCTCAGTGGGCAGAGCAGGGAGAAGGACCCAGGTCTCCGGACTCCTGCTCTATCTTTAGATCTCCATGGCAACCATCACCAGGGCGCTGCAGCTGAAGGCATGGCTGAGCTGGCTGCCTGCAGGAGGGGGAGGCATTTGCTTCCATGGCTCTTTTGCTGGGGAAAGGACTCTGGGCTGGGCTCTTGAGCCAGGAAAAGGAGACTGAGAGTGAAGCCTTTTGCAGCACAAAAGACCTGGTGCCAAAATAAAGGTAATCTAGGGCCCCACCTTGTTCTGAGACATGCTCAGGTCGCAGAACCCACGGCCTTCATTGTGTCAGGCTCACGGCACTGGAGGTACATACAGCAAGTGCCTCCTCTATTCTCCGCTATGGTCATTCCCTAACCAGTGAGCACCTCACCTCTAGCCTCCACTATGGTCATTCCCTAACCAGTGAGCACCTCACCTGAGCCAGCCCTGAGGTCACAAGAGACACACATCTCCAGGGAAAGCAGGCTTTGGCACAGGCATTACAGGGCAGGGCCCAGTGGGAGCCCCTCTCAAACCCTTGAAGCTGAGGAACCAGGAAAGCCCCTGCTAGTCCTTCTCCTGCCAACTCCTACCCAGCCAGGACCTGGCTCCCTCCAGGGAGTCCTCCCTGACTCCCGGCCCAATACTCTCCTCCCCAAGGTTCCTGCAGCTCCATCTCCCTCCTCCCAGGAGGATGCCTGTTTGAGGGAGTCAGGAGCCGCGTGGGGTGGATGAGAAACGGAGGTGTGCAGAGGTAAAGACATTTGTCCCAGGTCACCTGGAGAGTTAGCAGCAGTCTTCCATTCATGTCTTTGGATTTCAGTCTGTGTCCCTTCCTGCGTCCCAGTGCCAGGCCCCTGGCCTGAGCTTTAGAAGGGAGGCCAGGCCTAGAAGAGGAAGTAGGAGTCCTCGGCCAGGCCTGCGCTCAGCAAGTACCCGGCCACGTCCTTGGTAAACTCAGCTGAGCCGCAGACCAATGCAAACGGCTTTCTCCGACAGGAGCCGACCAGCTCTTCAATCAGGTCCTGGCCCAGGCGGCCCAAGTGGGTCTTGTCCCGGTAACTCCAGGGAAGCTGCTCTAGGGAGTTCTCCTGGGAGGATGAGAAACAGTGGGGGTGACTACTGGGGGTCCTCAGAGTTCACATGGCCAGCTCCTCTCTGGCCAACAAGGACACTGAGGCAGAGGGGGTGGGAAGCCAACCTTCACCCAACCCCACCACGGGCCAGACACTTCCTCACACTGGGACTCACATCACCCTCACAGAAGCCTGTGGGGAGGTAGTTATCCTCCACAACAGCTGATGCACAGGGAGGAGGGATGCCTCTCAGGGCACACAGTGACACAGGGGCAGCAGCAGGACCAGAACCTGGGGCCACTGCACCTGTCACTCAGGGGGGATGTTTTCTCACCATGACTGTGGGTCTCCTAGCATCTTTCCAAGGTTATCCATCACCATCACCCTCGGAGCATAACTTTTGTTCATTTAAGATTTCAATTAGCTTGTTGAGTTAACAAATGTTTACTGACTGACTCTGTGCCTGGCCCGGTGCTAGGCAATGGGGATACAGCAGCTGCCCTAAACAGACAGGGTTCCTGGCCCCATCTGGCTGTGTGTATCAGAGATCCCGGGCTGCAGTGCCCTAACCAAGAGAAGGGTTTATTTCTCTCACATGAAAAGGCTAGAGGTAGTATCCTGGGGGTGTGCAATGCCCCAGGCTCCTTCTCTTTCTGCCTCTCTAGACTTAGCTTGTGGCTTTCATTCCCAGGGTCACAAAAGAAAATCTCCACTACTTGGAAGAATATCTTTTAAGTAAACATTTTATTGGAGTATAACATATGTATAAAAATCGTGGTTTATATAGTTTGGAGAATTTTAACAAAGAGAAGAAACCATGTAACCAGCGTCCAAAACAAAACAGAACCCGCAACAGAACAGGACCATCACCTCTGCAGACCCTATTGAGATGAACTTCTGGTTCCTGGGGCCAAGCCAGAACCCGCAACAGAACAGGACCATCACCTCTGCAGACCCTATCGAGATGAACTTCTGGTTCCCGGGGCCAAGCAGCGAGACAGGATGGAGAGAGAGGGGTTGGGGTTGGAATCCAAGCTTTGCCACCATTTTCTGGTGAGGAGCCATGACCTCTCTGAGCTACTGAGATGAGCGCAGCGGACGGGGAAGCGCTGAGAGAGCCTCCATGAATGCAGGCCTCGAATCTCAGGCGCACTCACAGAGCTCATCAGACCCCGCGGGCCTCTGAGGACAGTGCTGTGCTGCTGACAGGGGACACTCTCTGATGATCTGCATCTTCTTGCATGCCCTTCGTGCTCTGACCTGCCCAATGGGCCCTCGAGGGCAGGAACGAGTAGGGCCCGTTGGCCTTGCCCCTCCTTCCCAATGCCCGATCCCCCTAGGCCAGTTAGGTTCAGTGCAGCTGACCTTGACTGTGCACCCGACCTTGACTGTGCACCCAGAGATGCATGGGGTCTGGTTGCTGCTCAAGTGGGGAGGGGACCCATAAACAATGGTGATGCAGTGGGGTGGGTGCTAGGAAGCAGAGCCTGGGCCGTGACAGCAGAAACATCTACACCAGCCTGGAGGCTCAGGGAAAGTTCCCAGGATGGAATTACACCTTAGCAGAGAGATGCGAGGGATGAGTGGGCGTTAGGTGAAGAAGTGGGAAAAAGTGTGCCTGGCAGGGGGAACCATACGAGCAAAGACCCAGGAGCCAGAAAAGCACAGAGCACTTGCGACCACAGGCAGACCGGTGACACCAGAACGCAGCATGCAGCCGGAGTGGGCCGGAAGGCGAGGCCATGGAGGGCTGGCACATAGCCTTGAGAGCAGTGGGGAGCTAGGGAAGGACAGGAAGCAGGGCAGTGATGTGGTCAGAGCTGCCCTTCCGGCTGCAGGATGAAGGACAAATCGTCAAGGAGTGGCTGGAGCAGGGAGATCCTTGATGATGCTGTCGCTATGGCCCAGGCAGCACCCGGAGTGGAGGAAGCATGGACAGGCAGGAGGCACCTCTCACTCCACCATCCCTCACCTTCCCCAGCTATTGACAGCCAGCCCACTCGCCTGCCCAACCCCAGGGCACTGGCCTCATCAAAGCCCCGGCCCAGGGTAGAAGGTCCCCTATTGCTGGTGAACTTTAACTCTGCCCTCAAGCCCGGGCTCCAATGCCATCTCCTCTGTGAAGCCCTCTCTGCTTGCCTCCAGCACCCTGAACACCCTCCACAGCACCTATCCCTGTGCTGTCTTACACTGACAAGCAATAAGAGCATGGCCTCGCCACCAACTTGCTGTGTTACCTTGGGCAAGCTTCTTAACCTCTCTGTGTCTCAGTTTCCACATCTATTAAAAGGACATGATGGCAGTATAAGCCTCCTAAGATGGTGGTGGGGATTAAATGAGTTAGTACACATGAAGTGCTTAGAACAGTGCTAGGCATAGAGAAGGTGCTCGATGAAGGGGAACCCTTGTCAGCCATCTCCGTGGCTGTCTCCACACATATAGATGAGCACCTGGAGGGCAGTAAGAGGTCATCTTCATTTTTATTTTTATTTATTTATTAAAAAAATTTTTTTTGGCCACCCTGTGTGGCATGTGGGATCTTAGTTCCCTGACCAGGTATTGAACCCCCGTCCCCTGCAGTGGAAGCACAGAACCTTAACCACTGGACCGCCAGGGAAGTCCCATTTTCGTTTTTAAATCCCTGGCACCTGGCACGTGGTGGGGGAAAGGAAGGCTGGCCAACCGCCAGGGCAATTCTGCCAGGTGCCTGCCTTCCTGCCACCTTCCCCGACCAGCTCTTAGGCAGGGCTGAGCGTGCTCCCGGCAGGAGTGGCCCTTCCCTCGCCCCTCTCCCCTCGGCTGGACCTTAGCCCTCTGCTTCATCCCTGACCTTGGGCGCTGCTGTCGCTGCTAATGTTCACCAAGCACGACCCTCTCGGTGTTCACGCCACAGAGCATTCTGCCCCGTGCACAGGCCTGTGGACTCTGGCCCCGGGGACCTCAGGACCTCTGGTTTCCTGACACCCTCCCCCACCCAGCCACAATGTCGAGGATCATGTAAGTCTTTAGGGACACTCTAAAGCTGTCTCAAGAGGAAATTGATGACAAGGGTGCTCCAAAGTACAGGGTAATGAGGCTGACCCTGACCAAGAGAATGGAGGGGAGGCACCAGCAGGGAACCTCAACCCAGGGCGTGCAGGAAAGAGAGATAAAGCTACAGACTAGGCGAAGGCCAGTGAACAAAGACAGCTGAGGGCCTGGCTTGAGGTAAGGGGCAAGACAGCCCTCCACGCTGCGGCCCTGTGGGGAGGGCCCAGAGGGGCGGCTTGAATGAATGGAGGGGATGGGGAACCAGAGGGAAGAGGGCTCAGAAGGCAAAGCCGCTTCCAGCTAGAGTGGTTGTAACTTGGAGGATTTGAAAGCAGCTTTGTTTGAAAGCAGGTGGGAACAAAGTGATGTGGAAAAGACCCTAACAAATGCAGTGAACTGGACCCGGTTTACTCCACCAGCCATTGCCCGGGTAAGTGCCTACTCCATGCCTGGTGCTGTGCAAAGCACTGAAAGCGGGGTGATCCAGACACGTGGTCCCTGCCTCAAGGAGCTATCACAGCCAGAGGACGTCTGTGCCTGGCCCACTGATTCTACAACCAGGCCCCCCGCCCATACAACAGAGGATGCCAGAGGGTGGATGGCAGGCAGCAAACCATGGTGGGTGAGAGCTGGCGCTCTGGAAGCAGACAGTCTCGGGTTCGTATCCTGGCTTCACCCTGTCTGGCAGCACGACACCAGCTGGTGCCTTCACCTCTGAGCGTCAGTTTCCTCATCTGCATAATGAACACGGCAACACCTGCCTTCCTTGCCAGGCACACACTGGGGGTTCCACCAGTGGCAGGGATGACTATTACGGCACAGGGCAGAGAGCCCACAGCATGTCCTCGAGACGGGTGCAGGGAACAGTTGAGTCTCAATCAGGGAAGGAAATCATCCCCCTGGGCTCACCTGGCTGAGTACAAAGAAGGTGCGGACATTCCAGAAACGAGCCTGCTCCCGGAGGAAGGTTTTCAGGTAGATGCCCTCAAAGGTCTTGAAGCAGCCCACCAGGGTGATGAAGGTCTCATCCTCTGCGTTGTCTGTGATGCTCTGCAGGATGGGCACCATGGGGGCCAGGCCAGTGCCAGCAGCCAGCATGAGGAGCTCACCATACTAGGGAACAGGATGGTATATGACAGGGGTGGGCTGGGAAGGGGTCTGACCCCAGCCATCCACTACGGGGGCTTTTCTTGGGCTTGTCTGAACTGGATGGCACTGCCCTTCCTGGGTGTCCCACCCATCTGAGTTCGCCTCTCTACCTCCTCCAGAAAACCATCCTTGCCTGTGAAAGGCTACAGCTTATGAGGTCTATGGAACAGAAATCATGGAATCTGGAGGCTGAAAGGGAACATGATGGTGCAGTCATCCTGCAAGTGGCTTGGCTGCCTTCTGAAGCATCCCCTCGGGACTCTGCTTACATACTTCTGCTGATAGGTAGTCCACTACCTCCCAAGGAAGTCTGCTCCATTACAGACTGACTCCCCTTGCCAGGGAAGGCTTCCCACCTGACACCTGTTCCCACCAAAGCTTGGCTCTCCCACCGCCATCCCAGCCCTGCCCTCCGGGCTGCTTCCTCTGCCCCAGGGCAACCCTGCAGAGATCGGAGGCCCCTGGCTTGGACCCTGAGCCTGCTCATCTCTGGACTAAATGAGATACTATACCTCAGTGCCTGGCACAGAGAGCCAGGCAATCAAAGTGAGCTCCCAAGAGGCACCTGTTCCATCAGCTCCCCATCACCAAACCTGTTTCCTGGCTCTAGGCCTCTTTAAGATCAGTGCCTAGAAGGTTAGTGCCTGACCCGAACAGTGAGGTATTCACCGACATCCTTCTAGAGATTAGGCCTCTGTGCACAGTCTGAGTGTTCACCAGCTTTAGTGACAGCCACTGCACACCACACTACTGCATGGAATGCTTCCTGGACTATCAGGAGCCTGGCAGATCTGCAGGAAAACCCCCAGTCACGCGATCTGGGCACGTTCTTTCACCTCTCTGAGCCTTGGTTTCTTCACTGGTAAGAAAATAACAGCACCTCCCCAGAATAGCACCTATCTCAGAACTGTCATGAGGATTAAAGAGATGACATAAAGTGTCTGGTATGGGACTTCCCTGGTGGTGCAGTGGTTAAGAATCTGCCTTCCAGTGCAGGGGACACAGGTTCGATCCCTGGTCCAGGAGGATCCCACATGTCGCGGAGCAACTAAGCCCGTGCGCCACAACTACTGAGCCTGTGCTCTAGAGCCCACGAGCTGCAACTACTGAGCCCGCATGCCGCAACTACTGAAGCCCGCGCACCCAGAGCCCATGCTCCGCAACAAGAGAAGCCACCACAGTGCAACGAAGAGTAGCCCCTACTCACCGCAACTAGAGAGAAAGCCCACGTGCAGCAACAAAGACCCAACGCAGCCAAAAAACCCGAATACATAAAATAAAATAAATTCTAAAATAAAATTGAAAAAATAATCAAGTGCCTGGTATGGAGCATGGGGCTTAATACAATTAGATTCCTTCCCTCACTGAGCCCTACTGCTAGCCCATCATCCTGTCCTGTGTTCATGCTCTCCCAGCCTCCCAGTCACGGGGTGTGCCATGCTCCCCCTTTCTCCCATCACTGCTCAGGCTCTCCTCTGGGGAGCCCTCTCTGAGCCAGGGGCAGGTGAGGGGTCCTTCCTGTGTTCCCACAGCCCTCTGTGCATCCCTCTTCACACTTGTCACACTATGTTGTTGTCATTTATTTGTGGGCCTGTCTCCCCATCAGACTGTGAGCTTCTGGAGGACAGGACTCATCTGACCCATCTCTGAGCCCCCAGGGTCCAGCACTGGCCTGGACCTGGGTGAATACCTATGATAGTCTGTGGAATGTCTCAGGGCTGACGTGACCCATCTGCATTGAAGATGGCTGCATAGTGGCAAGACTGGGCTGCATCCCAGCATCCTCACAGAAGCAGAGCCAAGCCTTAGCCACAGTTTCAGCAGCCAAGTATTCATGTGTGACACACCATGTCTTTTCCCTCATGGCTGGGCCCTACACCCTCCCAGACAGGAAGTGCAGGGCTTTCCAGTGGGGTCTGTGGATGCCAAGGTAGTAAGGTATGCCAAGGTATGTCCAGGAAGATGGCCTGCAGGTATTCTTTATTTCTTCTTTTAGCTTATTTATTTTTTTTATTAAAAAAATTTTTTTTGCCTGTACCAGGCAGCATGCGGAACATCCCCGACCAGGGATCGAACCCGTGCCCCTGCCAGTGGAAGTGAAGAGTCTTAACCACTGGACCACCAGGGAAGTCTCTTTTAGCTTCTTTATATCTGCTGAATTTTTTTTTGGTAATGAACAGGTACTGCATTTGTAGTAAGGAAAATACCAATAAAAGCTATTTTTAAATTAAACAAAAAGAATGGACCCACAGACATAGAAAACAAATTTATGGTTACCAAAGGGGAAGGGAGAGGAGGGATAAATTAGGAGTTTGGGATTAACATATATACACTACCGTATATAAAACAGATAACCAACAAGGACCTGCTGTATAGCACAGGGAACTATACTTAATACTTTGTAATAACCTATAAGGGAAAAGAATCTGAAAAAGAATAGATGTATATGTGTGTGTGTGTGTGTGTGTGTGTGTGTGTGTGTGTGTGTGTGTGTGTGTGTGTGTATACATATATATACACACATATATATGTATGTATAACTGAATCACTTTGCTGTACACTTGAAACTAACACAACATTGTAAATCAACTGTACTTCAATTAAAAAAAAGAATGGAGAGGAAAAATGATTTGTTCTTTTCCATTTGTTTTTGTTTTGCTTTGTCTTCCTAATTATAAAGGTAACAGGTACTCATTATGGATAATTTGGAAAACATAATGAAGAAAATAAAAATCACCCATAATTCCACTACCCAGAGCTGCTAACATTTTATTGCTTTTTTTAAAAAAATATTTTTTCTGAGGACTTCCCTGGTGGTCCAGTGGTTAAGACTCTACACTTCCACCACAGGGGGCCTGGGTTCAATCCCTGGTCAGGGAACTAAGATCCCGCATGCCATGCGGTGAAAAAAGAAAAGAAAAGAAAAGAAAAGAAAAGAACGAAGGAAGGAAGGAAGGAAGGAAGGGAATTCTTTAAAAATATATATATATTTTCTGTGCAATTTAACTTAGTTTCCTAACATTGTATATTCAGTTTACCTAGTGTTTGTCACTTGATCTTACAGCTTAAGCATTAACATCATTTATAAACATAATTTTAAAATCCAAGATAATAGTCTATCACGTATCTGTAACCCAGTGTGCTTAACTGTTCTGTTGTTGGATGTTCAGTTGTCTCCAATTTCTTGCTATTATAAATAAAGCCGCAATGAACATGTCCAAGAGGCAGCATTTTGGATTCTTTCCATAGGACAGACTTCAGAAGTGGAAGCACTGGGTCAAGGGTGTGAAGATTCCTAAGACTCCCAGTGCATACTGTCAAACTGCTTTCCAGATATGCACCAACTGATGAGAAATTACTGATTCTTCCCGGGAATGTCAGGGGAGGATGTGAACATGCCGTGAAGATGAGGGGAAGAGCCTTTGGGTTGGGAAGCAGGGGGTTCCCAAGCAGTGAGCCACAGGGTGTATTTAGGGAGTGGTCTCATAGTCTTGTAAATGGAACGTGAAACTGGAAAGATATCTGAGAGTCAGATGGCATAAGGGCCCTAAATACCTAGCTCATAGTCTGAATTTTTCCAAGCAATGGGCAGGCAAGGATGGTTCTGGAACATGGGCAGGCAGTTTTGTTTCTTAGCACCTATTCCCATCTCCTCCCATGTCCAACCCCAAGGATACTCTTGGGATTAGGTTTGGGCTCAAGAAGAATGGCACAGTGAGATTCCATGGCCTGAAACATGAGAACCACATTCCTGAAAGCTAAGCTGGGAGGGGTCTCCTGAGGACTCATTGCGGGCACTGACCTGGTTTGGTTTATAGAAGAAGCCTCCGAAAGGTCCTCGCCAGAAAGCTGTGTCTCCTGCTTTCCAGGACTCCACATACTGGGACATCAGCCCTGTCTGGTAGCACTGGGAGGAAACGAAGGGAGACCTCATTAAGACAGGCACGTGTTGCCAATACAAACCACATCAGCCTCGAAAGTGGAGCCCTTCCTGCACTCCCAGTGCTTTCCACGTGTTGTATCATTTAATCCTAATTATCCATGAAGTTGGTACTGTCGTTCCCCATTTTCAGATGAGGCCAAGAAGCTTACACAGAAGGTAAATGGTAAGACTGGGATGAGAATCCATAAGACCTACGGCCTTAACTACAGAGGTCTCAAACCAAATAACTACAATGGCCATGTGGGTAACAGAACTGAGTGAAGAGCTGGGTATGAGACGATTGATGGCAACTAGCAGCCTCAGCAACAGGGAGACAAGAGTGAGTGGTGGGGACTACAGCAAATTGGTGAGTGAATACTCTTTCTAAAGGAGGAAACCACTCTGCAAATTCCAGTACACAGTCCGTGGGGCCAGCGATGCCAGATCTTCTGACTCTCTAAGAGGGGCAGGAAATCCATACTTTTGTGAAAATTTTCCCATTTTTGAAATGTTGGCAATTAATTCAAAATTTTAAAACACCGTGCAGGCCAAGACCAAATATATTTATGGGCTAGAGTCCGCCTCATTTGCAATCTCTGCATATCCCTGCACTGTCTTCTGGCTGGATGAAAAAAGTGAAGATTGTGGAGGGGATTCCTCCACGGGGGAAGTGCACACTGCCCTGACTCTGTCAGGCACCATGCTGGGGCTGCAGGGGAGACAGCTGGACCTTAAGCTCCATGGAGGCAGCCAGTGCCTGAGTCATGGAAAGGACGTAAACATCTGAATGAATGAATGAACCCAGATTCAGGCCCTCCCTCTAAGGAGCTCACAATCTAAGAGGGACCTAAGTCTCAGACATATAAAAGGTAGAGACTACCTAACCCCCCGTGAGAAGGATGAAGTGCTAGGAGAGCCCTGAGGAGGTGCAGTCACTTCCAATGGAGTGGGATCGAGGACAGCTTCCTGGAGGGGAAAGCTAAGCTGGACCTTGAAGACTGGGTAGACTCAAACTCACTGGGGATGCGGGAAGGAGGGCAGAGAGAATTCTGGGCATCAGGTGTGGTATGGTCAGGGGTATAACAGCCCAGGAAGGGTGTCTGGAGAAATTATAACCAGGCTTGAAGGAGAGACTGGGCTTTGGTCACCAGACATGCTTTTAAGCACCCACAGCTACTTCTGGTACCAGCCCTGCCTTCCTTGGGCACCACATGCATAAAGCAAGGCAAGTCTTCTGCTTACCTGAAGAGGTCTGGGGAGGAGGCTACAGTTTTTCTCCTAAGTTGCTGGAGGCTATATTTCAGTGCACACCTTGTTTTGTGGCCCCAGTCTCGGGGAGGCACAGCCCCAGGGGTGGCCTTAGGGGCCCTATGGCACAGATAGCACTCAAGGAGAAAGGAAGGATTTTTCTGTGCCTCTGGCACCCACACGGAGCCTGGCATAGAGTAAATGCTCAATACACACTTGTTAAACAGAACTGACACTGAACTTGTTCTTCCACTTGAGATCATATTACCCCAGGGACCTTGGGACAATGACCTCATCTCTCTGGGCTTCAGTTTCTTCATCTGTAAAGTGGGGAGAATATGATCTACTCTGCAGGGTGATTATGAGGTTGAAACGAGACAATTAAAATAAAGAGCTAGAAGCAGTACCTGGTGCCCAGAAGGTGCCAAAGAAATGAGAGGTCCTCCTTTCCATCTACATGGGAGGGTAAACCTTACAAAACCCGCCTGCCTTCCCAATTTGCAAAGACATTTCCAGATCTTCCCAGCCAGCGGCTTAGGGATAATTAAGCATCTCTCTAAAGAGAGGCTTTCCGGTAAACGAAGGAGAAAATCAGCCTTGCAGCTGGGAGAAATCCAGCTGCCCTGAAGAACTGTCTCCAGGCTTATCCTTTCAATAGAAACACACCCAGACAAGCAGCTTGGGGAAGCAGGCCATTTGGAGAGGATTTGTGGAATCTCCCAGACAAACAGTTGCGTGGAAAAGGGATCCCATCCAAGCTTATGTGTGAAGGAATAAATACTCCAGCTCTGAAGGCAGGCGGGGATGGTTGGGAGCCAGAGACGGTGCTGGGGACCTGGAGTCAGAAGGCCAGGGCTCACCTTCCAGCTGTACTTCTTACTACCTGGGGAGCCTCAGGCCCTCCTGGGGCCTCAGTTTGCTTATCAGTGAAATGGGGATAATTCCTGTCCTACAAGGGAGACAAAGGATGTGAAAACTATTCCTAAATATAGGTGTTCCCCAGGATTCCATTTGGGAAATGATCTAGAGCTATGTATTAGGCTGACCCATATGAAACTGCTGTTTCTGTAAGTCAAAAATGTTAGCATGTCAGCAATTTCATGTAGTTCAACCTAACTGTTTTTGCACATAATTGGACCTTCATGACATCTTATATATTTGTTGCCTATTCCTTGGGTCTCTGGGATATTTTGCATCCAGCCCACTTTGTTCATCTCATCTCTGCCAATTTCCCCACCCATCTCGGCTGCCCCTACAAGCAACTCTCCTCCCACCACTCAGACTGGGTACAGTTCCCAGAAGATCCTGCTCTATTTCACTCCTCCCTGCCTTCGGTTATCCGTCTCCCTGGAATGCCACTGCTAACTTGTATTCCTCCCTCAAGGCCCAATTCAAATGCCCCGACCCCTGCCAACCCACCTGCGAGATGATTTCAGGTTACTTTGGCCCCCAAGGTTCTCCATGTCCCATCTTTTGCCTACAGAAGTGTTCCAGGACAAATGACTAACAGTTCCCCAAATCATGCCTCCTTTGCCGCTGTACGTGCTGATACAGCACTCAGAGCTTCCTTCCCACTCCTGAGCTTAAACATAGAGCTCAGACACACAGCTTCCTCTGGGAAGCCCAGCTCACCTTTCCTGCAGCCCCAGCTGCCCTGAGTTGGGTTGGGGCCTCCTGTCACAGCATCTACCACCTTGTACTGTCCCAGTCTGGCCCCTATCTGAGGGCAGGCACCGTGTCTGACTCTCCCTGGACACCCGTGCCCAGCACACAGTAGGTGCACATGACTTGGCTCCCCTTTTCCCGGCTCAGTGCTTACACTTCATCAATAGGGAAGAAGGTGAGGAGGAACGGCTTTACTTTTCTCAGTCCAAGCCTGTTTTCCATAAAATCTATCAGGAACATGCCCTCTGTTGGTGGGGCAGTAGCCTCCTTTCCCCAGGAGAGGAGGAGATAAGAAAAGGTCTCTTTCATTGTCCTTGCTCTTCCCTCAAGCCAGCCTCCTCCCATGTGAGCGCTGGCTTTTCCCATATCAGAGGGCAGTGCCCCACCCTGACCAAGCTGGCAAATGGAGGTCCAGTCCACAGCCTCTTAGAGCATCCGTGTGAGTTGGCTCACCTTGATTAAAACTTCAAAGTATCCTTTTGCGTTGGCAGGGCTGATGGGCGTATAGGCTCTCTGAATTTCTAAGCCATCTACTATCCCTCTGGGAAAGAGAAGCACTCAGTCAGGCAGTCAGCCAGTTATTCAACAAACCCTTAGAGTACCGAATCTATGCCAGGCTGGTGAAAATGAAGGTGGGGGCCCAGTCAACCCCAGTGGTCCTCATTGAGGGGCAGGCAAGATGGAGCAGAAGAAAAGAGCACTGGGCTCCCCCCACTGCCACGTGCTGGCTGTGAGACCCCTGGGCAGGTCATTTAAACCCTCAGCTGCCCCTTCTGTAAAATGGGGACAACTGTCTATGCCCCTGCTGTGTAGCTCCACAGGGGTCACAGATGAAAAAGTGCTTCAAAAAGTACACTGATGGGCTTCCCTGGTGGCGCAGTGGTTAAGAATCCACCTGCCAACGCAGGGGACACGGGTTCAAGCCCTGGTCTGGGAAGATCCCGCATGCCACGGAGCAACTAAGCCAGTGCACCACAGCTACTGAGCCTGTGCTCTAGAGCCCGCGAGCCACAACTACTGAAGCCCACGCGCCTAGAGCCCGTGCTCCACAACAAGAGAAGCCACCGCAATGAGCAGCCCGCGCACCGCAACAAAGAGTAGCCCCCGCTCACTGCAACTAGAGAAAGCCCGCGCACAGCAATGAAGACCCAACGCAGCCAAAATAAATAAATAAATAAAAAGTACACTGATGATGTGAGCTATTTTAGGACATCACTGGGGTTTTTCCTGATCTCTCCTCGACCACAGAATGATCAAGATAAAAATAACTATATTTAACAAGCGTTTAACATTTATCAAACACGACCGCATGCCAGGAGCATCAGAAGTGAAAGGATCCTCAAGGGTGCCCTAGTCCAAAGCCTGACCCCATGCATGAATCCCCTCCAGTGTTATCAACAAGGGGGCCGGGAGCACGATCGTGAGTAATAATGAGAGCAGCCATGTTGTAGTAAATGCCTATGATGCCCCAAGCATACTATATGCAGTGTCTCATTTATTTCAAACAATAACCCAAATGAGGAAACCAAGGCTTAGAGAAGGGATGTCACCTGCCTGAGGTCACACAGCTAGAACTCATCTGTAGCTGTGTCTGCCTCCAGGTCTGGGCTCCTTACCACTACTCAGAGCTTCCCTGGAGCACCTAAGCACTCCTCTCTCGAGCCCTACTATGTACAAAATTTTCTTCTTTGAGGTATGCAAAGATTAAAAAGGCCTGTCCCAATGTATCAAAAGTTGGGCAGAAATATTCAATAAATGCTTACAGAAAAAACAAGGAAATAACAAACAGAACATATGGCATGGCTCGGATGCAAAGGGCACTGTGACATTTGCTATGACAGGGGTAAAAGTGACAGGCACTCTCACCTAGGGAACCTCAGAAGGCCTTGAGCTCAGAAGGTCTTAAAGGACAAGCAGGCCACTAACAGGTAACAATGGGCAGGAAGTAAAGTAATTCCAGGCAGAGGGAACAGCCTGGGCAAAGGCTTAGAGGTAGGATAATGTAGGGCAAGCCAGGAACTGGCGAGTGGACCTCGGGGCTGGAACAAGGGGCACGTATGGGGGTGGTTGGGGGGGTGTGGAGAAGAACTTGCTGGGCAAGGAGGCTGGGGCCTTGGGTTACAGTGTCACTGGGGAGGCACTGTGGAGTACCAGAAGGGGGCTGAATGAGGAGGGATGTGGTCAGCTGCATGTGTTAGGAATGTCACTGGACTGACAGAGAGGGGCCAGACTAGAGGCAGGTAGTTCTGGGCATCCCTGACTTATGGATGGAGGGTTGCTTGGGGCTGTGACCTGTCCTGTGGCCCCTCTTGTCCACTGGAACAGTGACCTTTAAGGACCGTCAGCCAGGCCACAGGCCAGAACAAGCTGGGCACAAACACCAGGGATCAGTGCGAGGCAAGTACTGGCTAGACTTTCCGTCTCCTTTGATGGCTCTGCCTCCTCTTGCCAACACCATAAATGCTGGAGTTGCCAGGGTTCGGTCCTACCTCCTTCCCTCTTTCCATGCCCCACGTGCTCCCAAATGCCATCCAGGCATAACAATATACCTGGATGATTCCCAGATCCACGTCTGCAGCTCAGATTTCTCTGCTGAGCTTCAGACCCAGAGAGTCAACTGCCTGGCAGTCACCTCCATCTGGAGGTCCCAAAGGGTCCTGTCCCTGTGTAGGTGGAGGTGGGGATCAAGGCGGGAGAAGAGTACAAAAGTAAGCTGGAAGGAAGAAGGAAGTTCAGAGGAATGAAGGGTGTAACTCAGGAGGCGGGCTGTTTGGGTTTGAATCCTTATTAGCTGTGTGATACTGGGCAACACCCTTATTTTCAACAACAGTGTCTTCTCTATCAACTGGTGCTAATCATATGAGGTTAATACCACAAGCTCTGGAGCCACACTGCTTGCTTTCAAATCCTGGCTCCAACACTTCCTAACTGTGTGATCTTGGGGAAGTTACTAAACCTCTCTGACTTCAGTTTCCTCTCAGGCATGACACTGGTGTCTACCACACAGGATTTTGTGAGGGATGAATGAGCTTATACATATGAGCACACAGAACTGTGCCTTGGATACAAAGTGCTAAAAAAGTGTTTGCTGTTACTGTTGTTATTATTTATTATGAAAATGCATTATCTAGTTCAATTCCAAGAGCCCTCTGAGTCACGTATTACTATGTTTATTCTGAAGATGACAAATGGAGGTTTAAGGAAGGTTAAGCAAGTTTCCCTAGACCACACAGCTAGCAAATGGCAGAGCAGGGCTGCAAAGCCTGGGTCCTCCCACTACCTGAGTGTACCGTAGGATGAGGTGCTGGCCAGGCCGCAAGCTGAGCCGGCTGTTCCCAGGTAATGCAAACCGGACAAGGTAGGTGTCCTTAGTGAGTCTGTCCGTGGCACTGATGCAGAAGGCTAGGAAGGTCTCTGGGCTCAGCTTGGAGGGACAGCTCTGCAACAGGAAAAGATTCAACAGCTAGAAGCTGGGACTCAAGAGACATGCAAGCATCCATGGGCAACCTCCCCACACGGAGAGGCTATCAAGGCCAATAAGTTTTCTCTGTAATAGCGTAGTCCCGCCTTACTTCCTTTCAGGCTCTAAGAATGCCAGAACACTTTACATTGAGCTCACCCTGCTCTGAAGCCTTGTATGGCTCCCCTCAGCCCCAGGATAAAGTGCAAGGTCCTTAACTGGACACTCAAGGGCCCTGTGGATGGGCCCCAAGTCTCATTTTATCTCTCAGGCATCAGACACCAGACTTTTCTCTTTACCCCAAGAATACCCTGCGGCTCCCTACCTGTGAGCCTTTATTTGCTCGAGCAGTGCCCTCTATCCAGAACACTCATCTCCAATGTACGAAAGACCTATCCATCCTTCAAACCTGCTAAAATCCAGATTTGCACAATTTAGAAATTGATGGGACCTAATGGATGATCTAATCCAATATCCTTATTTTATATGTGGGGAAACTGAGGCCTGAGTGGTAGTGACTTATTTGTACAAGGTCACACCATGAGCAGGGACTCAAATTCATGTCTTCCAAGTCTCAGGCCACTGTCCTTAATATTCCACCCCACCTCTACCTCCTCCGGGAAGTCTTCTCTGAATGCCACGACTCACAGATCTCCCTCTCCTGTAAAATGCCCACACCCAATTCACTCCTGGGACCTCCCCTAGCCACCTGCCCCATTCCCCATTCACCAGCTCAGGGCCAGGCTTTGAACCTGGGTCAGTCTGCTTCCATTAAGCTCACTCTTTTCTCTCTGCTGTACAGAGTCAAAGGAAGCTTCCGCGAGCAGGTACACTGCACAGGGCTGAGGCCAGGTGACGCTGCTCCCCCTCACCTGTGTCTCTTCTCCACTCAGCAGGCTCCTGTCCTTGCTGGCTCGGGCTGCCTCCCAACTTGCTAGGTCTCGCTGGTAGAGGTCAAACACGCAGGGTGAGCAGCCACTGCCGCAGCACTGGGAGGGCAGGGGCTCCACCGGCCGAAGCTGCAGCCAGGCTTCCTCGTCGTCGTCTTCCTCCCCCTTGTCCATTGTCAGTGGGCCTTGGTCAGGCAGGAGGTGTGGGCAACTGGGTGCTCTTCCCAGAGTAGGCCCAGGTCCTCCTCCCTTGCCAGCCTGGGAGAGGGAAAACATGTGGTTACACTCTGGTCACCTCTATTCCGCTCATTCTCCCTGAGGCCTGCAGGTGCCAAGCTCTGTGTGAGCACTGGGGACAGGGATGAATCAATCCTGGGATCTGCTGCCTGGTGGGGGAGGGAGGGAGACAGGGCACAGCGATCGGAACGGGCAACCATGGTTTCTTGACCTCTTCGTGTGCTCTGAGGACTGCTGGATTAAGATTACATAGAAAATCTCATTGAATTTTTAAAATATTTTAAATGATGAAGTACAACATTTATGTACAACTTAATATTTATAAAAGTTATAAAAATAACTTTTTATACAGATAAATTATATACAGATAAATTATACAGATAAATTATAAATAAAAATAAATAAAAGAACCCTTTCGTAAGCACCACTCACTCAAGTAAAAAGAACCTTGCTGGCATCCCAGAAGCCACACATTTGTGTTCCTCCCTGATCACACCCCCGCTCCCCATTAACCACCCTGACTTTTTTTTTTTTTTTTTTTTTTTGGGTACACGGGCCTCTCATTTTTTTGGCCTCTCCCGTTGCAGAGCACAGGCTCCGGACGCACAGGCTCAGTGGCCATGGCTCACGGGCCCAGCCGCTCCGCGGCATGTGGGATCCTCCCGGACTGGGGCACGAACCCATGTCCCCTGCATCGGCAGGCAGACTCTCAACCACTGCGCCACCAGGGAAGCCCCCCCGACTTTTGATATAATCATTCCCTTGTTTTTCCTTAGTTGTGCCACTTTTATTTGCAACCCTATCCACTATTTATCAGGTTTGCTTAGTTTCTACCTTTAAACAGAATCATATGAATGCATTCTTCTGTGTCTGGTTTCTTTCACTCACCACTGTTGGTGAGTCACCTGTCAAATTGCTGCATCTCATTTAATCTTTACAACAAGGCCAGTCCTGGAGGTGTCATTTTATGGATGGGAAAACTGGGGTCTGGAGAGGTTTAATAACTTACCCAGGGTGACAAAGGTCCCCAAATGATGGCACTGGGACTTTAACTCTGCTCTGTCTGGTCTCAGAACATATTGTTCTTCAATCACAGGAAAACAGGAGGAGGAGGAAGTCATGATGGTCCAGGTGAGAGGTAATGAGGACCTGGACCAGGGGAGCTTCAGGGAGGATGAGAGGACAGCGGTCAATTAGAGAAATCCTGAAGCAGTAATTAACAGGACACAGAGACTGATGGATGTGAGGTGAGCAGGTGAGGGGGATAGAAGGGACATCCAGGTGTCTGGCTTGGATCCGTGGGTGGATTGTGGGTCCAAGAGAAGCTGAGTTTTAGGGGAAAGAGGAAGTGGGGGAAATGGCTAAGTTCAGTTTGAGGTACACTGAGTGCCTGTGGGACATCCAAGGGTAAAATCCAGCTGCCAGTTGGATTAAATAGGTCTAGGTACCTGAGTCTGGAGATGGAGCTCTGGGTAACTGACAACAAGGGAGGGATGAGTGGGTAGAGGAAGAGAATAGGCTGGAGCCTCTGAAGGCCTGCTTGGCTTCCTGCTTCCTGCAGCACTCACTGCACTTGGTCCAGCCCTGGTCACTGTAGGTGCTCAATAAATGCTCTTCCAGTGAATGAATCTCTACCCTATAGCATTTCACACTGTTCAGAAATTACATGTTTACGTGGTTTTCTCTTCTTTTGAGACTGTGAACTCCTTGAGGGCAGATACCTGTTTTTTATTCATTTTATGAACTAGCACAGTGTATATTTAAAAATATGGATGTTATATGAAAGGAAGAAGGAAAGGAGCTTGGTTTCAGGGCCATTAGGTAAACATTGTCTGAAAGAAAGATCAGGGAGGAAAATTTAAATGGTTATGATTTATTTTGAGATGTTTCTGTGAGGGCAGTTTGGGATTTATCAAGGTTCTCTGTCTTCATATGTGGAACTATACAGTTTATATAGAAATAGACTTGGTCATCTCACCTGTAAGGAAACTATTCATTGAAAATTCCACAGGCAGGGACTTCCCTGGTGGTCCAGCCGTTAAGACTCTGTGCTCCCAATGCAGGGGGCCCGGGTTCAGTCCCTGGTCAGGGAACTAGATCCTGCATGCTGCAACTAAAAGATCCCGCATGCCACAACTAAAGATCCTGCACACTGCAATGAAGATCCCACACGCAGCTATGAAGATCCCGCGTGCCGCAACTAAGACCCGGTGCAGTCAAATAAATAAATAAATATTTTTTAAAAATCCACAGGCAAATCAAAGTAAAAGAGGGTCTTCTCTCCCTCTTGTCTGAGAACAGAACTTAGGGGAAGTCTGATGTCCCAGAGCATTATTTGATGTAAATATCACTCCTCCAAAAGCTCCAGTCTTAGACTTCCCTAGTGGCGCAGTGGTTAAGAAGCCGCCTGCCAACGCAGGGGACACGAGTTCGAGCCCAGGTTGGGGAAGATCCCACATGCTGCGGAGCAACTAAGCCTGTGCACCACAACTACTGAGCCTGCACTCTAGAGCCCGTGAGCCACAACTACTGAGCCCGCGTGCCACAACTACTGAAGCCCATGCGCCTAGAGCTGGTGCTCTGCAACAAGAGAAGCTACCTCAATGAGAAGCCTGCACATGGCAGCGACGGGTAGCCCCCGCTCGCCGCAGTAAGGCTGTGTGCAGCAATGAAGACCCAATGCAGACAAAAATAAATTAATTAATTTAAAAATATAAATAAATAAAATTAAAAAAATAAAAGCTCCAGTCTTTGATTTCCTCCTATTCATTCCTGCCTCTTAGACACTTACTGGGCAGGGGCTGCTGAATGAGGTGCTGGGACACAGAGGTGACTGACACTCATCTCTGTCCTGGAGGAGTCATCCACTAAACAGATAAGAACCGGGATAAGATAGATGCACTGCCTCACTCAGTCCTCTCGACAGCTGTACATAAGTAGGCCATGCTCTTCCTCATTTCACAATGGAGAAAACTGAGGCCAGGAAGCAGGAGTGGTAAAGTTAGTGCACATACCTGGTCTCTTAAGACTCCAGGCTGCTCTTTCTCCCTGGATTTCATGCTCTAGAGGGCAGAGGAGAGTGTCTTCATCTCCAATTCCCAGTGCCTGGCACTGGGCTGGCACAGAACAGGGACCCAACTTGCCAAACTGCCACGGAATTTTATAGGCACCCTGGAGCTTCCCAAGGGCAGTAGCTTCATTCGTGCATAAAGTGCTAGAATCAAGGTGTGCGCCAAGTCTGTGCAAAAGCAGAGGAGCAAACCACCACACCTACTAGAAGACAGTGAAGTCCTGTTTCTTGGTTACCAATCACTTCCCAGGAGCCCTAACCTTTAAGATCTTTCCCACTTTTCCTGCTTTCCACACCCATTTACACTGGAGCTTCCCATGGGCCCAAACGATGTGCTTCCAGTCTCCCCCTACACCATCAATCAGCACACCTCCCACCAGCTCTGATCACAACAGTCCCCTGCTTAGCAAGCTTCAATAGCTCCTCACTGCCTACAAGATACAATCCAATCTCCTTGTGTGGTGCCCAGTGTTCTTCTGATCAGAACTTGTCCAAATTCTCTTACTACTTACTATCATTGGTTTTAGAAGGGTAGTTCCTCTGTGTGCAATAAATCTTTCTCTTATAGAGGAAAGGCTGCTCTTTAGAGAAAAGAAAACCTGGTTCTACTGCTGGTTCTATGATTTCAGGAAGGTTTAGCAGGTTGAGAACCCCTTGAGGGCAAGCAGTTATCTTATTCTTTCTGTATTCTACCACCAAGCACAGGCCTGGCATATGCAAGGCTCAGGTGAGTGGTGAGTACTCAGTTTACATATAAGGTCTGGGAGCCAGGCGCAGTGCTAGGTGCTGGGATACAGCAGAGGTTAATAAAACAGGGGCTCTACCTTCACAGAGCTTGCAGCCTAGCTTGGTGTCACATCAGGTCAACCCATTTTTCTTGCATGTTATTTACCAGGTTTGTATTAAGAGTGAATGAGATCTGATTCCCTCTTTATGCTGACTTCTTACTCCCAAAAGGTATTTCAGAGATAAAGTGAGGTAAGTGAAGGAGCCCTATTGACTGTAAACTGCTGTACAGTGTGAGGGTTATTTAGCCTTCTTTGCCTTAAATTTACTTTCTCCATGTTTTACTAATCCCACTTTCCCTAGTATTTTGGAAATTAGTAGAGAAGCTGGCCACGTCAGTCATGAATTTTAAAGGCCAGGTTCACATCTTCTCTCAGCCTCTACCTTTTCAGTCTAAGAAGCCAGGCGTTGACATGTTGTTGCCTCTGCCTGGATGACACTCCTCACCCTCAGGCCTTGCTTCAACGTCATCTGCCCTCAGAGCCCTCCCTGAACCACCCCCTTCTCATTCTCTAGAAGGTACCCTATTTGCTTATTCATCACATCATTATGTATTCATTCATTAAACATATATTTACTATGTACCAGGCACTGGTCTAGGAGCAGGTTTCACAGCAGTGAAGAAACAAAATCCCTTGCACGCATGGATCTTATATTCCAGTGAGAGCGTGATTAAATAAAATCAAAATAGAAAACATGTTATGTTAGTGTTAAATACTGAAGAGAAAAATAACTGGGGGAAAAGGCATATGAAGTGTGTGTGTGTGTGTTGCAACTGCTATTTATTTACTTTACTTGCTTTCTGTCTGCATCTCCCACTAAACTGTACGCTCTACATCGCACACCTGTTTTATTCACCAGTGTAAACCCGATGCTCAGCAGTGCCTGACACTCAGTGGGCATTTGATAAATACGTGCTGCGCAAGGAGGAAGGTACACCTCCGCCGCTCTGGCCCTGCTTCTAGGAGGCGAAACGCGACATTCCGAGCAAAGGAACTCACTTTGGGCGCTTGGGAGGAGGCGTGCAGTGCAGCGCGGTCGGTGCGGCGCCGGCGTGGTGCAAGGGCCACGCTCAGGCTCCGCGTGAGGGCTGGAAAGGCAAGGAAATTTACGGCGTACCCACCGCGCGCTGGGTGCTGAGCTAGTTTAGGCGCTAGTTTAGACGCTAGTTTAGGCGTTTCTATCGCTATTTTTACAGCGAGTGACTTTAAGGCTCCGAAGGAAGTGCCCTGCCCAAGCTAGTTTAGGCGCTAGTTTAGGCGTTTCTATCGCTATTTTTACAGCGAGTGACTTTAAGGCTCAGAAGGAAGTGCCCTGCCCAAGCTCCAATTGCTCGTTAAGCGATCAAGGTTGTCCCGAGTTCAGGCTTGACGTCCTGAATCTCTTCTCCTAGTCCCCCTGCCCATCACAACCACTCACCTACCCTCCTGCGCTTCCCCGGGGAGGCAGGCAGGGTTCCACCTGTGGGAAATCGCTGACGGCCTGCAGGATGGGGCAAGACGAGGATGCCCGGACGATGATTGGTTAAAGTGGCTGCCACTCATAAAACGAGTCTGGGCGCTCGGCTCCTTTCGTTCCCAGCAAGCCTTGAGCGCGGGAAGATGGCGGCGTCCAGGTGGAGGTCTTGAAGAGATCGGATCGGTATGGCGTTGGCGTCGAGGTCAGCAAGGCTGGCCCTTGCTCGCCCCGGGCGGCTCGGTCTTGGGAGCTGCGGGGCCCCAAGACGCGGGGCGTACGAGTGGGGCGTGCGCTCCACGCGGAAGCCCGAGCCTCCTCCCCCGGACAGGGTGTACGAGATTCCTGGACTGGAGCCCATCACCTACGCGGGGAAGATGCACTTTATGCCCGGTCTGGCGCGGCCAGTCTTCCCGCCCTGGGACCCTGACTGGACGCCCCCGAAGTTCCGCCGCTTGCCCCCGCTTCACGAGCACCCGCTGTACAAAGACCAGGCCTGCTACGTCTTCCACCAGCGTTGCCGCCTCCTCGAGGGTGAGGCCCCAGGACGGGCGGGAGGGGACCTTGGTCCTCTACCCAGCACTGACCCCGACCTTTTGTGGCCTTGGGCAAGACGTTGAAACTCAGTGGGTCTCGGTTTCTCCGTCTGCAAAGTGGCCCGATATTGATTCTCATCTTCTGCGAATTGTTAGGATTAAGTGAGATGTAAAGAGCAGTATGTGTGAGGGAGTATTAGAGTTTTAGTGGCCAAGTGAAAAGATCTGGTTTCTAGGCCTAGTCCTGCCCCTCACCCTCTGTGTGATTTTGGGCAAGCGACTGAAGCTTCCTGAGCCTCCATTTCCTGTGAAATGAGTGGTTTTGACTAGGTGGTTCACATTGACCCAGCTCTTGCACCCTGGAGATGTAACTATGTTTGAGAACTAGTTGGAGGGGGATTATAGTGCAAAGAGACAACAGAAACGGTACTTAATCTGCAGGTCTATCGCCTCATTTCAGGCTAGTCAATCAAGTTAATTGGTAATTAGGATTGGTAATTGTGACAGAGGGGAAGTGATTTGCCAGTGATCTGCTTACAGGTGCACTGTGCGTTACTAGTGAAGCCAGGGCTACACCTCTGGTTTCCCAGGTCGATGTCCTTTGTCAACGGTCAGAGCTGAGATGTTTTCAGGGAAAGGATCTGGGCCTAAAATCCATCTAGTCCACTTCTGCTCCCTTTCACTCTCACTAAGAACAGGTCAAAATGACTTTAGCCAAAACCATCTGTATGTCTGGGGCAGTACCGGAAATTATGTTCCAGAGTCCCTGGAGGGGGTTGTTTATTGAGAGTCCTCTTAACCCATTTTTTCCTCCTCATTCTTCCTTAGTCCCTAAATCAGAGTGGGTTTAGGACAGGTCCTGAAAACACAAAATGGTCCAGGTAAGTGGGAGCAGAATTTTCCAGTAAGTAATTAGGAAAGAAAGAGACCTGGCAGGATTTGGGGACTAAGCCAGATAATAAATCCTAGGTTTGAAAAAAACTTGTCAACTGGCTAGCCTCTTAAGCTGCTCAAACCCACTCCTGAAAGCTGTTTTTTGGCCTTTAAATACTTCCAGTATCCTCACAGGGTGCTGTGAAGGACCTCACAAGACTTGGCACCCTTGAGTGACCCTGGTAACATTACCATGTGGATGAAATGCATTAGCTGTGTCTTAGAAGTTAAGGTTAACTTGTTTGACTAGGCTGAAAACATACCCTATGCTTTCACCATATGTAGAGAGGTTCTGTAAAGTCTGTAATAAAACTGCAAGATACAGGGCTAGAGAAGCAGATTGGGGTAATGGAGGCTTTAACATAGACAGACTCAGGTTCTCCTCCCAGCCCCATCGCTTACAAGGTTTGGAACTTGAAACAAATTCCTTAGTCTCTTGAGTTTCATCTTCCATTCCATAAAATCCCATCCAACTTGTAGTTAAAGCTCCTGGCACAGAGTAGATGGTAATGTTCAGTAAATGGCAGCTCTTACATATTATTCATATACTAGTGAACCATAAATTCTTAGTATTTTATCCATTTTCAAGTTTAAGGAACAATGGCAGTGTTGGGACTAAAAGTCAGGTTACCCGACCCGCAGTCCAGGGTTCTTTCTGCTGCACCACAAAATCCAGAAGTTAACATTTCTAAATATTTGTGTTTCTGATGTCTTATGAGCCTTAAAGTGAAAAGTCTCATTACCTTTCATTTATCACCACAGAAGAAATTGTCTGAGGGTGTTTCCCTCAAAGTGTGCTAAGTTTGATTTAATCCCAGACATAGTTTTTCAAATGAAGATATATCTCTGCGTCGAGTGATGTTTTTTCAACTGGGATGAGTAGCTTGCACCACAGCCCATCCCGCTGAGAGTAAGGGGGTTAAATTAGTTTTTAGAGACTAAGCACTCTGAATCAGATCTTTTAGTTTATTTATACTCCTCCTTTTCCTGAAAAGTATTTTGGGCATCTTACAGAAATTTTGTAGCACAGACAGATTAAATTAAAAATAGGTGAGGGGATCAGCACAAAGGAAAAATGAAACAGTGAATACAAAAAATCCATTCTGTGAGGTTGTACTTGTCCAGGGGAGCCCCAAAGTTGACTCTCAGCTTGCTAGCAGTCAACAAATGGTACAGAGATGGGGTCTGCTGACTAGGCCAGTTGCCTGTTTCTATAAATAGCTTATTATAGTGAAACCATGCACACCTGTTTACTTATTACCTATGGCTGCTTTCGTGCTACAGTGGCAGAGCTGAGTAGTTGTGATAGAGACACTGGCCCAGAAGCTGAAAATATTTACTGTCTGGCCCTTTAAGAAAAAGTTTGACCCCTGGTATAGAGAAACATTGTGAGTTATGCAATTCACCGTGTCCAAAAGACAAAACAGTACTCTACCCAGGAAAAGCCCAACCTTCCTGTCAGAGGCCAGGGAGAAGTTCAGAAGGTCTCAGGGAGGACCCTGCATAATAAATTGAGCAACATCCTCAGTATGATTCTTTTGACAAATACAGCAGTACATTTCATAGGGCTTCATACAAAAATCTGCTTATAAAATAGCTTGTTACAGAATCTCAGAGTCAGATGCGAAAGATTATCTAGTGCTCCCAAACTCAGGGCTCCTCAGGCTATTCATGATCCAGAAGTTATTTCCATTATTTCCAAAAGCTCTTTCCCTTGATAGAGCAGTATGCACTTAATCCTGGGCCCATATCTCTTAAATGACGTGTATTTGGCAGACATGAGCTTTTCCAGTCAGGGACTAGGGTGTCGGTTAATAGAAAGGATCTAGGTTTTGAGAGGTTGGCATCTATTGATGTAGTCCTGTAACCGGGGTCTGAATTCTGCAGGTAACAAACAAATCCTTGCCTGCAAGATTCAGCCTCATGATCTCAGCCATCTTAGTGGCTGTTTGAATTCCTCCTGAGGCAAGTACTCACTGCCTCAATCAACTGTTAACTTCTTTAGATGGTCATTCCTGAAGCTGAGTTGAAATCTGGCTCTCATAGCTTCTGCTTTTTATTTTAGTTCTGACCCCTCAGATGTCGGAACAAATCCCATCTCTCTCTCAAGGCTGCTTTTTCCCCAAAATGCTACCCGGCAGGGAAAAGCATCTCTTCCTGAATGACTTTTTTTTTTTTGGTTTTGGTTTTTTGTGACTGATGACTCTAAAGGTGTAAAGCAGGCTCTGTGGCTTACCAAGACCAAGTTAATAGAAGGCCTTCCTGAGAAAGTGCTTAGCCTTGCTGACGATCCAAGGAACCACATAGAGAATCAAGATGAATGTGTTCTGAATGTGATCTTTCACGCTCGTCTCTGGCACTCTACTGAAGACATCCCCAAGAGAGAGACGTACTGGTAAGTCTCCCCCAAGTCAGTAAGGTTTCCAACTGATGGATCTTGGAGTCAGCCTGTTGCTTTACATCTCCAAATGTCTTCTTTTCTCCAAGCCCAGTCATTGTGGACAGTCTGATACAGCTGTGTAAATCCCAGATTCTCAAGCATCCTTCTCTGGCCAGACGGATCTGTGCCCAAAACAACATGTTATCCACCACCTGGAATCGAGGTTGGTCCTCCTGTATAGCAGAAAGCCTTTGTCTGTTCATTGTCTTTCTGCTCTTAGCCCCATCACCAGCTTATATTCCCTTCCCTGCTGCCATACCTATTCTCACTCCCATCCTTCATGGTCCAGTTTTGTGGCTCAGACATTGAAATGACATCCTCAGTGTCATTTCATTAGCCATAACCCAGCCTTTTTCTTTTTTTTTTTTTTTTTGCGGTACGCGGGCCTCTCACAGCTGTGGCCTCTCCCGTTGCGGAGCACAGGCTCCAGACGCGCAGGCTCAGCGGCCATGGCTCACG